GTGTCCACATTCGGGGGATACACCCCCCATCTCCATGTGTCCCCATTCGGGGGATGCACCCCCCCTCCCTCTCCGCGTGTCCCCATTCGGTAGATGCACCCCCCCCTCCCTCTCTGCGTGTCCCCATTCAGGAGATGCGCCCTCTGTGTCCCCATCTTGGTGTCCTGGTGACACCAGGATAGAGAGTGATGGGAAACCCCAGATTTTGCAGTTGCCACCAAACAGGTGGTGTGTATCTTTCTAGGGGGAACGTCTGATCTGGTGACAACCAATAGCGGAATTTCTCACTATAGGGAGATTTCCTCTCATTATCAAGTTGCACCTCAGGGACATGACGTGAGGGAAAAGCTCTCCAATGGGACACAAAGCACATTTTTTTTTAAAAAAGGAAGGCATTTAGGCCCCGTTCACATTGAGCGATTTATCGCACGGTAATTCCCGCGATATCGCGGCTATTTACCGCGCGATATCGCTTTCAATGCTTTGCAATGTGGCAAAGGGTCCTGCTGTCGCGGGTCGTGTGTCGCTAAAGCAGGACCCTTTTTGGAGCGGATTTTGCCGCGATTCAATGCTTTTTGATAGCAAGCATTTGCGCGACGTTGCGCAAAATGCAAATCGCACGATTTGCGAATCGCCAAGTGTGAATGGGGCCTTAAAGTGTATCTGAACCCAAGAACAGAAAATGTCACCATACCAGAGTCCTATAGACACGGCGGCTGCATTTGTTTTATTTTCCATTCTTCGTTGCTTCGTCTGAATGTTCCGGGTGTGAAAACTAATGCAGCCACTACACGTACGGACTGGTAAGCTGCGATATACTAAACTTCTATTCCTGGGTTCAGATAGACTAACCCTTCCCTGCTCCAGCTAAAGCAGCTTGGATCACTGCAACACTTAGGCAATACACAAACCGGCCTACTGCTAGCGCACAGCAAAGAGCGATGAAAGGTCTGTGTCCGCCGCGAGTTACTAGCGTCGGCTTTGTATTGCCCGACAAAGAAAACCAACAGCTGAGATGTACCGGGTGTGATGGGAACACTTTGTACTGCGACCCAAAGCCTTTGTCAACGTGTGATAATGCATGAAACAGAATCCAGACCTTGTCTAGTACAGGGATAGCCAAACTCCAGCCCTCCAGCCGTGGGTGAAACTACAAATCCCATGATGCATCTCTCTGGAAGTCATGTCTGTGGCTGTGAGAATCTTGCAATGCCTTATGGGATTTGTAGTTCCACCACAGCTGGGAGGGCCAGAGTTTGGCTACCCCCGCTCTCAAGCAAGGGAAGGTCCTCCAGCTGTGGTTTAACTACAACTCACACTGTGCATCTGCCTCCGAGAGTCATGCCTGTGGCTGTCTTGCTATACCCCACGGGACTTGTAGTTGCCGACCCCCTGATCAATCTGGTCATTGATCACTAGGCTACACTCCCTGTATACACTGCTGCCTGTCACCTAGACTGCAGGGTGTCCTGTGTTCTAGATCAGCGGTGGCGAACCTTGGCACTCCAGCTGTTTTGGAACTACAAGTCCCATGAGGCATTGCAAGGCTCCGACAGCCACAGACATAACTCCCAGAGGCAGATGCATGTTGGGATTTGTAGTTTTGGCACAGCTGGAGTGCCAAGGTTCGCCACCACTGTTCTAGATACATGTGAATGTCTCACGGAGTGTTATCAATCACAAGGAGCCGCCTCTACATACACAGGGACTCCTTAGAAACGGGTGCTGTTCTCTTGCCAGACTTGTTAAAACATATTGGGGGAATTATTCAAAAATGGAGCAGCTGTGCATGGCAACCAATCAGCTTCTCCCTTTCATTTTCAAATGGAGACAAGACAATTGGTTACTATGAGGTGCTGCCCCAGATTCTGTCTGCTTCAGTTTGGATAACCCCCCCCCGCCATTAACCTTATCTCAGTGGTTGTCAGCTGCTGGACCCAACTGACCGCTATGGGCCAGAGTTTGCATTCAGCACATCAAGCTCGCTGCCATCAATACCCCAACTTGGCCACTAGATGTCACCACAGCAGCAGCGTCCATCCAGGGAAAGGTAGGAAATGAAGGAATCTCTGGTACAATGTGCACCTCAGGATACAGAGATAATCTGTGTTGGGCTAGGGTCACCATAAGGGGTAGAGTTAGGGTTACCATTATGGTTAGTGTTAGCAATAGGGTAACCATTAGGGTTAGAGTTAGCATTGGGGTCAACATTAGGGTTAGTATTAGTGCTGGGGTCAACATTAGGGTTAGTATTAGTGCTAGGGTCACCATAAAAGTTAGGGTTTGGAAATAGGGTTACCATTAGGGTTAGTTAGTATTGGGGTCACCATTAGTGCTAGGGCCACCATAAGGGGTAAAGTTAGGGTTACCATTATGGTTAGCGTTAGTGCTAGGGTCACCATAAGAGTTAGTTAGGGTTACTATTACGGTTAGTTTTAGCACAATGGTTACCATTAGGATTAGGGTTAGTGCTAGGGCCACCATAAGGGTTAAAGTTAGGGTTACCATTGGGGTTAGTGTTAGCACTAGGGTTACCATTGGGGTTAGTGTTAGCACTAGGGTTACCATTGGGGTTAGTGTTAGCACTAGGGTTACCATTGGGGTTAGTGTTAGCACTAGGGTTACCATTGGGGTTAGTGTTAGCACTAGGGTTACCATTGGGGTTAGTGTTAGCACTAGGGTTACCATTGGGGTTAGTGTTAGCACTAGGGTTACCATTGGGGTTAGTGTTAGCACTAGGGTTACCATTAGGGTTAGAGTTACCCAACACAGAGATCTCATACAAATCGCCTAGTACTATAAATCTCTGAGACTTCTGCCCCCTCCTTCATTTGAGGTTTACTTGTGGGCCAGAATGGGGAAAGGTTAGAACCGCCATCAGGTTTTTACTTATTTCCTTGTCCTAGTCCAGGGGGTAGGCACTCTGGCCCTGTGCTGCAACTACAAATCCCATGAGGCATTGCAAGACAGCCACAGGTGTATGCCTCCCAGATAGGATTTGTAGTTACCACACGGCTGGATGGCCTATCCCTGTCCTAGTCCTAAACATTACCCTTCACTTCCTGTCCTCGTATCTCCCGACGTGCCTCCCGATAGGGACACAACCAGGCATAAAAACCTGACCATTACCTTCTCTACCCAAAACTAAGCTATAGCTAGAAGTAGTAGTCTGAATGTAGCGTGATCACATAGGTTCATGATAACACGACAGCTCACCCTGAGCCCGCATTATAACTACATCAAGCTTAATCCGTGCCGATTAGCATGTTGGTATGTATAGGGTATAGACCTCTACACTCCTCAATTAACTAAAATAATAAAAGTGGGTGTGCAGTGTCTGCTCATCTAGAATGAAGCCCGGTGTACATAGAGAAGGTATAGCACCTGGTATCCCAACAGTCTGGCGTCTTGTTCTTCCGGCAGTTCCTCCATGAATCTCCTCTTCAGAGCCTGGGGGGTGTTCAACGATCCCTGAGTAATAATGGAGAGACTGAGGTTGGGTTTCCACTGCAACAGATAACACAACCCCTAGTTTAAAGGGCACCTGTCAGATGTACACCACAGGAAGCAGCCATGGTGTGGACTGATCCATCAGTT